CTGAGGTCATTAAGCACCGAGCTGGCAGCAAATCTTTTTTTTATGCAGCCCAATGGGAAGAACTGGTTCTTGATGTGGGACAAGTGGGAACCAACCTGAAGATATTTGACTCTTTGAAGTCTTTCCCTAAGTAACCTTTTTCCTGGGCCAATCTTACTCTCTACTCTTTTACATTAGTTGTAGTTCTAGACTTTTTTTTTTTTTTTAATTGACCATGCATTCCTCAGCCTTTTAAAAAATTACATTGGAAATTTCATGTCATGCTTTGGGAAATGCAGAAAGTATTGACAGAATGAACAAAGCTTTATTTATGGTTTATTCATGCAGACTGAGTTAACAAGAGCACCCCCAAACAAGCTGCAGCCATGGAGATAGAACGGGGCAGAAACAATATTAACATGCTGCACACTTGAAGTTGCAAGCTTGAAATCACTTGGGCTCTCTCCTGGAGCAGCAGATTTTTCTCCATAGGAAGTTCTTATCTGTTGCAGAGGGAAGATTAGGTTATATAAGGGTAAACAAACATTGCAGGTTGCAGATATTCTGATGCTTCAATGCAATCAAATTTCAGACCTCAGTGTAAGAACTCTTAACTAGGAAAGTCTGGGCACCGGGGAATTTCAAAAAGAAGAAAAGAAATACTTGAATATCTCCCAAGCTTCATGCCCTATGCCATATTTTCTGCATTGAAAATGCAGGCTTTGGATAATTGTGCATAAATATAAATGGAAGTCCACTTGTCTGCACAGTATATTCCAGGAAAGATTTTTGAAATTAAGACATTTGAGAAAATTATGTATTAAAAAGTGAGAAGCATCAGAACTCTAAGGGGCTTTGAGATCATCCTATTATTTTATTTTATTGATGGAGAAAGAAAGGCCTAATTAAGTTGATGACTCTTGCCCAAGTTTACATATGGTGTCACATGTATTGAGGTTTGACGGGTCTCCTGACTCTCATTACAATGGTCTTTAATATTAAATATATAGCAGCAGAAAAAGAATTTATAGCCAACATCCATTTTTGCAACCTGAAACAAGTGGCATTTTTTTCGTCACAAAAATATATTAACTGAAAAGATACGGAGTTTTGCTTTGTTTCCACCAATCAAATGAGGAAACGGATGAAAAATCCATATGTTGAAATAGCTAAATAATGACCTAGGATTACTAACTATACCTTTGCAGAATAATTTATGAAACAAGAATTTAATGTACACAGAAGTTTAACTGAAAAATACCTGAGTGGGAAAAAAAAAAAAAGTAACATTAGCAGGTCAGTTATAAAAAAGATAAAGCCAAAACAAAGAAAACGAGACAACGGACAATTTTACCATTTCATTATTCATGGAAATAATCTCATGTGGGCACTGTGAACATGAAGATGTGGAGAGACAAACAATATCTTGAAAGCACCTTGTAGCATTTTTCTCCTGTGAATCTATAATAGCATGCATATATGAGGGAAAAATTCTTTGGATTTTGGCAGTGTTCTTACAGTAACTAGCTGCAGTGGGGATGTTTGTGGGTATGTCTTTACATAAACTAAACAGAATAAGACAAATTAGGTGAGTGGCTATTATCTCTGAATTAGGGTAAAATATGAATGATGGAAAGAGGGACCTTTTCAGATGGTACACCCAAAAGTCTTGGTTAATAGTGACCCATTGACTAAAATAACCAACTCTATAAGGCAAATTAACTTGTTTGAAGTTCATCAGGGTATTATTATAGAATATTAAACATATGGAAGAAAAAATGTTGCAAAGATTATTTGCCACAGTGTGAGCGATATTTCCATTGAACATTGAGGAAGAATATATAAGGCATAAAATGATTACCATTATAATGTACATATTAAAACCATATTAGTGTGTTGAACTGCTTCACTTTTTCTTTCCAGCAGACATCAAACTTGGGTGTCTAGATTTGGATAGTTTCACAGGAATAAAATTCCATATCTTTAAATTCTATAAATGTTGTATATAAAATCAATTTGAGAAAAGGCAATAAGCATGCTCTCAAAACTACTGTTTCACTTTCCAGAGTAAAGGCACAGCTTTCTCCCATTTTGTATCTTACTGTGGTGCATTACCTGGAATGTTAAAATCTAGGGGGACATCAAACGAGTAAATAATTCAATATATTGATTTCAGGTACCCTTTTTAAATCAATTTGGATATAGTCAATTTGGGCATAGAGCTGAATTCTCTGCTCAGGGGATCACAAAGCTGCAAAATGTTGGCTGAGGTGTACATATCTTTTGAATTAGTGTTTTCATTTTCTTTGGGTAAATCCCCAGTGGTGGAATTACTGGGTCATATGATATTTCTATTTTTAAATTTTTGAGGGACCACTATACTATTTCCCACAGTGGTTGCACCATTTTACATTCCAATCAAGAGTACATCAACAGTCCCTTTTCTCCACATCTTCACCAACACTTGTTACTTCTTTTTTCTTTTTCTTTTCTTTTTTTTTTTTTTAAATAAAGATTTTATTTATTTATGTGACAGAGAGAGACACAGCGAGAGAGGGAACACAAGCAGGGGGAGTGGGAGAGGGAGAAGCAGGCTTCCCGCGCTGAGCAGGAAGCCCAATGTGGGGCTCGATCCCAGGACCCTGGGATCATGACCTGAGCCGAAGGCAGACACCCAACGACTGAGCCACCCAGGCGCCCCCTTTTTTCTTTTTCTTTACTTCTCTATCTTTCTTGGGTACTAGCCATTCTGAATGATATGGGGTGATATATCATTGTGGTTTTTATTGATCAGTAATGTTGAGCATCTTTTCATGTGTCTGTTAACCATCTGTATGTCTTCTTTGGGAAAATGTCTATTTAGGCCCTCTGCCTGGTTTGTAATTGGATTTTTTTGGTGTTATATAAATTCTTCATACATTCTGGATATTAATCCCTTATTGGATATATAATTTTCAAACATCTTCTCATTCCCTAGTTTGCCTTTTCATTTTGTTGATAGTTTCCTTCACTGTGTGAAAGGTTTTTTTTTTTTTTTTTAATCTATTTTGATGTAGTCCCAACAGTTTTGTGTGTGTGTGTGTGTGCGCGTGTATTTGTTTCCCTTGCCCGAGGAGACATATCCATAATGTCCCAGAGGAGACACATCTGATGTCCCAGAGATCTCTGCCTATGTTCTCTTTTAGGAGTTTTCAGGTCTCACATTTAGGTCTTCAATCCATTTGGAGTTTATTTTTGTGTATGGTGTGAGAAAGTGGTCCAGTTTCATTCTTTTGCATGTAGCTGTTCAGTTTTCCCAACACCATGCATTGAAAAGACTATCTTTTCCTGATTGTGTATTCATGCTTCCTTTGTCATAGGTTAATTGATCCTGGTAGGTAAGGATTTATTTCTGGACTCTTTATCCTGTTCCATTGATCTCTGTGTCAATTTTTGTGCCATTACCATACTATTTTTATTACTATAGCTTTGTAGTATATCTTGAAAATGAAAACATTAATTTGAAAAGATATATGCACCCATATATCTATTGTAACATTCCTTACAATAGCCAAGGTATAGAAGCAACCCAGGTATCCACTGATAGATGAATGGATAAAGAAGATGTGGTATACAATGGAATATTACTCAACCATAAAAAAGAATGAGATCTTGCCATTTGCAACAGCATGGATGGACCTAGGGGGTTTTATGCTAAGTGAAATAAATCAGAAAGAGAAAGATACATACCATATGATCTCACTTACATGTGGGTTCTAAAACAAAACAAAACAAATGAATAAACAAACAAAAAGCCAAATAGACTCTTAAATACAGAGAACAAACTAGTGGTTGCTAGTTGAGGGGGTGGGGTACAGGGGGAGGTGAGGGGATGGGTGAAATAGGTGACAGGAAATAAGAAATACAAACTTCCAGTTATAAAATAAGTAACTCATGGAGATAAAAAGTATGGCATACAGAATATAGTCAGTAATATTGTAATAATGTTATATGGTGATAGATGGTGACTACACTTATTGTGGTGAGCATTGAGTAATATATAGAATTGTCAAATCAGTAAATTGTAAACCTGAAATTAATATAACATTGTATGTCAATTGTACTTCAACAACAGTAATAATAATAATAACAATAACAAAAGTGTTGGCCCCAGGGCTGCAAACTCATCTTAAGCACATCCGAAGTCCTCTTCCGAACTCCTTAGTTGTTGGAAACAAATTTTCTTGAAGCTCTTTGACTGAGATCTCTATTTCTTGGTAGCTATAGACTAAGATCACTCTGCTCAGAGAGGCCACCCTCTGGTCATTGACATGTGGCGCCTGTCTCTCAAAACATGGCAGCTTACTTCTTATATGCTGGAAGGAGAATCTCTTTGAATGGAGGGCTCAGTACCTTTTTAAGAGCTTTCCCAGACTAAACCATACTCACCTGGGATGATCTTCATTTATATTTGCTCAAAGTCAACTGATTTGGAATCTTAATTTCATCTGCAAAATGCCTTAGCCTTTGCTATCTTATATAATATAATAATGAGAGTGAAATCCATCATATCTACATCTCACCCATTCAAGAGGAGAGGATTAAACAGGATGTATGCTGCAGGGGTTGGGAATCTGGGGATTATTTTATAATTCTGCCTAGGATAGTGTACTTTCCAGAAATTAAGAAAGAAAAAAAAAAAAAAAAACTCAGTGGTTGGTAAAAAGCTATATTACCAGTCATGTATCTCTAGGTATTTCTCCTTTATCTAAATCCTCACTATCTGTATTGAGAAAAAAAATAGATTTGGGTGTTTTTTTTTTTTGGAGATAGGGTTAGTTCTCCCTTTCCTGGTTTCTCACAAGCATGAATTATAAATGGATCAGCTTGCCTGGAGGTTATTAGATGTATTGGACTGAACATGCCAGAAGAAGCATCAAAGAATAAATATTAATTATTAAAGATGTTTCAATCAAAATTCATAATGTCAAAAGACATTGTTAGTGAATTGGTTTATGACATACTTTCGAACTTCTTTCTAGTGATATTTCCTGAACTTTAGAGGCTGGAAAACTGAAAATCACAGTACTTAGATTCCTTTGCAAGGTAAGATTGCAGAGTGATTTAGAAATATTTGCATGCATTTGGAAAATAGAAAGTGAGGGTGATGCTGGAAATTTGCTCCTTCTGAGAGTCCTGCTGGTAAGCAAAATTGTGGAGCCTTATTTACTTTCCTATTTAATAATGCATTTATTTATTTCACCAGACACTCAGCAGAGGGATCAGTGTCCAGTCAGCAGCATCACAGGCATCAAGAGGACTGAATTGGACATTGTTTTGATCATGACCATTATAACATGGTTCTGAAACCAGTAGTGCTTTATCAGTCATGGAAGGCGCTTTCTAGTTACAGTGTATTGTATAGATTGAGAAGAAATAGCTCTAAGGTTAGTCTCTTAGTTCAGTAGGTGGCTTCCTTATCATAGAAGAGGTGGTTCCTTTGGTGGCTCATTCTCTGTTGTGGCTTTGGTTGTCTTTTCTGAAAGCACAATGATTCTATAAACCATCTCTTTTGGCTTTAACTAGCCAGAATGTATTCTTTGTTACTGGGCATTACCCATAATAGCACTTTCTTATCTTCCCTTATCCTCTCTGTTTCTGGGGAGAGAGAGTCACACTACCGTGTAGAACAATAATTTTAGTTGCTTTTTTATACTTCTGAGTCCCTTGGGATATGAGTGGAGCAATTCTCTTTACCGATGCTCTTTTCCTTTCCATGCAAGAGATTTGAAAATGACCCCCTTATAGTGTGGATCTAATTATATTTGTACCTAAGAGCATTTGTTCCCAAATCTACTTGGTGGAAAGGAAGAAGGCAGTTTGTTCTTAAAGTTCAATCCTATTAAAACATTAAAAAAAAAAAAAATCTCATTGATAGCCCAGAGAGCTTGCATTATTGCCAGTTATAGATTCACTAGGAGTTTTCAAATTTAATGACCTTTTTTATAGTTCACGTGTATAGGTTAAATTGTCCACTTTCCCATGGTTATTTTCTCTGCAGGCAAATTAATTTTCTTCTTTTTCTCTGCTACTTTAAAAGTTTGGCTCCATAAAACCCAAAAATTATTTTAAAAGGATGGATTATCATAATGTTTGAGAAATAAAGTTGAATCATGGCTTCTTTTCTATTTTGCCAGTGCTAACATTCTGTTGTGCATCCAAAGTCTATACCAAAGAAAATGAAGTGAATGCAGCAGAAGAAACATTTGGGTTTAATATAATGAGGACTTCTTTTTTTTTTTTAAGTTTTTATTGTTATGTTAATCACCATACATTACATCATTCGTTTCTGATGTAGTGTTCCATGATTCATTGTTTGTGCACAACACCCAGTGCTCCATGCAGAACGTGCCCTCTTTAATACCCATCACCAGGCTAACCCATCCTCCCACCCCCGTGTAATGAGGACTTCTTGACAGAAAGTCTGTTTGGCAGGGTGCCTACCTTAACATCATGTCATGTGCATAGTGTGAGTTAGTCCTCAGAGAATATCCAGTATTTGAATTTTGATGAAATTCTGGACAATTAGTCGAATTTTTTGCCTTTTACCTTAACATACATTTTATTCAACCGTACCTTATGTCTGCCAACAATGCCCTTTGTGCTCCCCCTTTCAGATCACTCACACTCTTGTAACCCTCTGTTAGAATATCCGTATCTGCCATTAAGCTCTAAGTTCTATGAAGCAAATAAAGTTTACCCATGTCACTCAGGGAGAAAGGGGCTGATCCAGGCTTCAGGTCTAGTCAGTCTGGGCCCACAGATGAGATTCTTAACAGCTACAAGGGGATAACTTCCCAGTTTTGACCATCTTTGATTATAAAACTTGAGAGATCAGTGGTAAAAATAGATGCCATATTAATAGATTAATGTGCTCTTAATCTACATTTTATGAGTTTATGGTAAATAATTATGGTTTATGACACATTTTATGAAGCTATTATAAATAAATATACCAATGAGAATCCATATGAGAATCCAGCAACAATAATAACCATTTATCAAATTCAGAGAATTCATTTGAGTTTTCAAGAGAAGGCAAGAACAAAAGAAGTTTTAAAAGATTCAGTTGGAGTACTTATTTGCCAGTAGCTTTATCTTTATAGTCTGTTTCCTCTCCCTATTTGATTCTGCTCCTCCCTTCTTATTCAGATTCTTCCACTAATGAAAATTGAGGTGGGAGGATTCTTGCTGGGGGCTATAATGACAGTATTGTAAAGTAGCAATTATAGACTCTGAAGTTTTTTGAAATGGCTTGTACTAGGGAAGAATTCTAAAGTATTCTCACTGACTAAAATATTCTCTCTTATAAAGCATTGGCCCAGAAGGACAAGTTTAGGCATATCACAGGTGCTTCTTATTACGCCTTAGCGTCTACCACTGTCTTTTAAATAGTGTGGCAGATCATTCAGCACTTTTAAAAAGTTAAGGAAAAAATCTCTGATTTGCTAGAGCATGAATGCGATAGAAGTTAAAAAGCCTGTTAACACGTATAAAATATTATTACTCTGAGATCATTTAACTTAATATCTGAAAGCTTAACATGGACGTAAAACTAATGTTTTTCTGCTTTTGATAGTAGAACCAAGTTCTGTCTCTACCCTTACCTCCACAAGAACTCAGAAAGTACCAGCAATCTATCAGCTACGTACTCGATAGCAAAAATGAAATGGAAGGTGTGGAATATGGCTCATGCAATGCCCATTTTAACCTCTAACCTTCTATGTGTTTCTTTCTGTATTGTAGAAGATAGACAGCTAGAATTATATATCCCAAGTTCCTTTGCAGCTAGTTTTCCAGATGTAATTTAGCTCTGAGAAACACATGCACTACAGGGAGACTTGAATTCCAAAATGAGGGAAATAGGGAAAGAAGAAGCGACAAGCATCCATTTTTCTGGCACATGACAGGTCTGCATTTATCACTTCACTAGCTTTCTACGGTTAGAGTGGCATTTACCCAATGATGGCAGAGGCAGTGTGGTGCTATGTTTACCAGTTTTCTGATATGGTAACTGTGGTTTTCCTGAACAGGGGCAGGATGCTTCTGAGGGGTGGTGGTTTCCTGGGAAGGTCCTCTAGCTCTTGCAGCCCATTTGTAAGCAATGGGATATATTGGGATACTGTACTCCATCAATTCTAAGTGAATTTCCCCCCATTTTGAACTGGCAGTATGTTTATATTTCTTAGTAGTACATGAAATAATGATGTGTCTTATGTGTGAAGTATTGTAAATTTCCTCCTTGGAAAGAAACCATAGAAGAATCTCTTTCCCGAAAGGAACCATGTGGCAAGTTTTCTGCAGCTCAGTCCTATCTGAAAGGAGTATTCTTTGCTTCACTCTTAGTCAGCAGTCTATGGTACAATGAAAATGAGTATCTGGCCTTTAAAATTCTACTCTAAAACATGGAGAAACACAAAATTTGCAGTTTTCTCTTCTAATCTCTGTGTTCTGACCACCAAAGACAAAAATGGACTATTGTTCAGAAAAACTACAGTGGCATACATATTGCTGCATAAGATGTGTAGGATGTCTTTAAAAAGGCAGGTTTGTCATAATTTACTAATAGGCATTAAACTTTATCAACCTACAATCCCTGAAGAATAAATAATTCTGATTATTAGACTTTCCCAAATTGATATTACTAAAAGCTATAATTTATTACATGCTAGAGATTTTGTCCATTGCCTTCTCTGAACTCCATATTGTATTTGAAACATCAAGACAATTTTAAGGAAGCAGGCATAATGTTGGAAAATAATTTGTCTTTTGCCTCAACTTTCATTGTTAATCGATTTTTCGACCTGTAAGTATTCAGATTCAGAAAATGAAATATTATGATACCCAGGACCCACTTGAAAAATTCTACTTGTGCTAACAATAAAGGCACAATTGTACTTATACTTGTGTTCTCTTAAATATTAAAAAACAACTTGACAAACAGCTTGTTAGTTGGTGTTTAACTCTATATTCCAGGGCTTCAAGAATTCCATTTTGATAGAAATGTTTCTAAAATATCTTTTCTGCCTTCCTCCTATTTTAAATTGTATTATATTTCCTATGATACATGCTTGTGCTATAATTATCAAGCATCATGACCAAGTGCAGATCTAGGTGGGAAGGGATTCATTACTGATGGGGCATCTGTAGTCATGTGGGCTCTGAAGATTTTCTTAGAAAAGAATTCCAGTTCTAGCATATTTGTTTTCATCTCTTTCTTTTTTTCCAAAGGTTGAGTTTAAAATTCGTTGCTTCATGACTTCCTAAGCTGAACTCAAAAGCTGTATTTCTGTAAAAAGAATTTGCGCATGAAAGGCTGAAGCGGAAAATGAACAATGAGTAGAAAATTACCTTATTATTAACTCTTCTCATCAGTCTCCTTTGACTCACTTGCACAAGTTTCAATACCATTATTTCTGTATCACTAACATCATGTATCAGAATGCCCTTGGATTCCTGTTTTGTTGCCTTATTCTTATAGATTGAATATTCTTCATTATTTCAAATATTTATGACAATGAATTTTTGGAAGACTCAGTGAAAATGTACATATTCTTTATCCTTATTGGATAATATCTGCTTACATAATACTAGATTATAATTTTTGTGAAGTTTTACTTTAAAGAACAACACAGATACAAGTAAATTTATAATTGCATCTTTATTCTAGAACAATATTGAAAGTTCTCTAATGGATCTTTCATGCGATAGCATTTCACATTTAGAGGCTGAATACCACAGTTCATAGGTCGAATATATTAAATAACATTGAAAATTCAGGTAGATAATAAAAAGTGTTTTTTCTAAGCTTATGCTTGCTTTCTTAAAAGTTTCTTGGTGTTCCATATGCAACAGGAAACTATTGGATTCTTACCATACGTCAGACCTTGTATTAGATCTGCAAAAAGAAACATCTAGTAACAAGGCCAAATGACATTGTTATCTCAGAAAAGCCTCTATTTTATTGAAAATGCACAGGAATGGGGTGCCTGGGTGACTCAGTTGTTTAAGCATCTGCTTTGGCTCAGGTCTTGATCCCAGCATCCT